CTATCTCACCCCTCACAAACCAAACCTAGTCGATCCACAAATAAAATAAGTACATCTAGGACAACAGCAGCAGTTTTGGTATGACCCTTATAACCAAGAAAGAGTGGATACTTCACACTGCATTCTGAGAGATCTATGGCCAAACTCTCCCTTAGCTTAAGACAATGCAGCTTGGCAGGCTTCAGTAGAGCTGCATCCACTGATACCAGTGGTGAATTCTCTCCCTCCCTTCCTCCCTCTCCCCCTAGTTTAATGACTAGAGATAGACCAGGGTGGACCGATTTAAATCAAAGTAATTTAAGTCACTGATTTAAATCTTGATTAAAATCAGAAGTCAGGAAACTGATTTAAATCAAAAGAAAATAATTAGGAGCATGTAGGGAAAGTAAGGAAGAAAGCTCAACATTTTTCCAAGCGTTTGTATTCCATTTCATGTTGAATTAGTCATTGAAAATTGCTCAAACAAGTATTCCCTCTAATACGAATTAAGATAAATGGAAATAAACACTAATGTAGTTAGTAAAGAAGTTTGTCCCCCTCCTTTGCATTAGTATAGTGGTGGTGGGGGGGGGGAGATAAGCAACCTTGACTCTCAGAATCCTAGTTGTGTGTTTAGAATTTTAGATTCCAAAAACTGAGATATTGAAAAAGGATTAAGATTCAAAAGGTGAGGCCAGAAGGCATCCTTGTGGTCATATAGTCTGACCTCCTATATAAAACACAAGCCATAGGACTTCCCTAAATTAGTTTGTTTGAACTAGAGCATACAGAAATAGATACTGGGCAAGTCACTGGAACTTGAACTATTTATGCAACCAACAGTTAAGAAATTAAATCTTTTTTAAGAGTTCAAGACCCCGTGCATAAATGCTGCTGTAACTAGATTGCAAAAGAACGGAAACAAAGTCATCCCCTTTTTCTGAGAAATTCTGGAACTATGTTCTGAATTTCCAGGAACTGAAGACAAACGCTGCCAATTCTCACTGCTGGATTTTTACTGAAGAGTCAGAGAATTTGGAAAGGACCACTGAAAATCACTGAAAGGCAGTATTGATTTTTTCCCACAAGGCTACAGATCATTTCCTGGGGAATGCACTCAGACTTACATGTAAGTTCCCAATACAGTAAAGAAAAAGCCTCATGTAAGCAGGATCTTAGAAACGGCTTCTAAAGCAGCAAACGTTCTAAAACTAGCAAGGAAGTTGGTCAGAGACCTATAGCCTACTTTAAAAAATAAAGATCAGGTTCAATTATTGCTTCTGGTTGCCAATCTGACCAGGTAAAGGAAGAAAGAGGTGGGTGAGGAGTTAGCTTAAAGGTTATGTCACGCTGTAGGTAAGAGGAGGTTATTACCTGTAACTAGAGGTTCTTCGAGATGTGTGATCCCTATCTGTATTCCACTGCTGATTATGCATGTGCACCATGTGTCCAGAGCTGGAGAATTTGAAAGTAGCATTCGTTGGTCTGCGCATGAGCCCTGGCTCACCTCATGTCTCCGTCCAAGGGGATAAACGGCAGGGCAGACCAACTGCCTCTCCATTTCCTTCAGCACAACGAATCAGATAAACTCTGAGGGAGAGGGGAAGGAGGGTGGGTAGTGGAATACAGAAAAGGACCATACATCTCAAAGAACTTCCAGTTACAGGTAAGTAACTTCCTCCTCTTCTTTGAATGATGGTCCCTATTGCATTCCATTGTCAAGTGATTGTCAAGCAGTACTTAAGTAGGAGGAGGGTGCAGGATTCCAGAATCTATTGGTCAGTGGATGTGCGAAGACCAAGTAGCCCTGGGAAGGTGGATGGTATGCACGGATTGCCGCCAAGGACTCGCAAGGAGCTGATGGACAAACCTGATGTTTTCAAAAGAGAGGTTGTAGTCCAATATGAGAGGAATATCTGCAGTTTCTGGGAGAATTCCTCTTTGATGTGCCCAAAAAAGAAAAATGCTTCCATTTAGGTAAGTAACATCTTCTAGTAGAGTCCTTTCTACTATGAATAAGGATGTCTCACACTTCTGTGAAGCATGAACATTCGAGGACGATGCCCATCCAAATTCCAAGCCCTGAGGTGGAGCTGAAGCGGATCAGGGTACTTGATCTTGCCATTTCACTGGGTCAGGAGCTTGGAAAACATTGGGAGGATGACTGATAGTCAGGATGACATACGTAAGAGGTTGGGAAACCAAAAATGTCTATGTCAGAAGGGGAAGATCAGGATAACCAGTGCTCTGTCCTGCAAGGTTTTGTGTAGAACTTGTGGCAGCAGCGGTAGCAGATGGAAGGCATAAATGAATTGATCCAACCAAGGATGAAGCAGAGCATTGAGCTGGGAGTGGTGACCTAGGATTTCTCTGGAGCAATATGTGGTGCATTTCCTGTTTGCTTGAAAGGTGAACAGATTTCTGGTTGGAGTTCCCCATTGAGTGAATGTACTCTAGGAGGCTTTCCTCTGCTCCATTTTTAGCCTTTTGAGATAAGGTATAATGTAACCTGCGATTTAAGTTTGAATGATCTACTCAATCTAAACCTTGAAGTACCAACAATATCAAATGAAGGGTTATGAGTCTTTGAAAGTTTTAGTTCTGACTTATGTTTTGTTTTAAAAGTCCACAGCAGATGTATAAACAAAGAAGACCACAACAACAGCACTTCACACCATAACTTAGAATTTATACCCTTCTTCTGGTCTTTAACCAAGACAAGGCTGGCTCAGCAGCCAATTTTGCAAGTCAAATTTAATCTGATCAAGCTTATTAGGAAGAGGGGGAGGAGAGGGGGAAACAGTTCCCCCCCCCCCCCCCAAGCTAATTTAATTCCTCACAGCAGACACTTTAGTTGAGAGTGATTTTCCAAAGCCAGTCTTTGTAATAGGTTCAAGCACTCGTTTCAAGAATGCTAGCACACAAATATTTGTGCCAGGAAATACTGTGTAAAATTAAACAGGATGCACTCTCTCACTCCCTCCTCTGGAGACCAGTTCGCCAGTAGATACAGAGGATCCAACCCACAGCAGTGTTTACTATTCCTGCAGCCCTCATGCAATTGTTATGAAGCTTTTTAGTCAGCTAGTTTCCTAGAACAAAAGCAGAGTATCTACAGGTTTTGTGGGAAGAGAGGGAAGGACGTGGCATGTGGAAGTGTATAGCAGGCTACAGAAGAGGTGGTTTATAAGATACCAGTATTCTAACTCCAGGGATTTTATCACGAGAGACTCACAATATTTGCTGTTTTTCTTAGAGCTCCAGGCCTGGAGTCAAGTGACTACAAGGGAATCTCAGCTTTCATTTTAGTTTCTAGTCCTAACGGTTGTCAAGAAAAGCTTAGAAGTGCATTCTAATAGCTCAAACCAAAATGCAAAGAAAAAACCTTCACCCAACCCTTGGACAAATTTGAGGATTTTTTGGAGGCCTTTCTGAATGCATGGTATTGGAAATACTGCAGAGGTCTGTTTAAATACAGTACCCAAGATGGACCGATAGACAGCTGAGCCAATGGAATGAAGACCCAAGCTTCCTGGAATGAGTGAACCTTCCCTCTCCACTGAAATAGAAAATGTAAACTAACTCATTAAAACAATTTTAGGAGGAAGATTCCTAAGCAGCAAATGTGTAACCCACGCTAGCATTTGTATTCGCCTCCGTCTTTTAGCTAGTCCACATGAGATAGGAGTCTGCTACAGCGGCAAACTAAGGAAGTTTCTCCTTTTGCTCAAGCAAAAGGTTTTAGCACGGTTGGCCCATGAAGGGTCAGTTATATATGCCACTAGCTAAGTTCCACCACAAAGCAGGAACAACTAAAACTTGCGAAGAGAAGGAATTCAAATTGGTTTAACTGACTTGATGAGACCAAAATGGGGTAGATCTCGCTGAACAGAGGAGCTATCTTAGAGCTGTTTGTATGCTGCGTTGGGGGAGCTTGGGAGAGCCTTGGCCTTCAGCACTACCGGACTTTGCATCATGAGGAGGATAGTTTGATTTAATGGTAAAGATTTTCTAATCTGAAGTGGCTGGATGTTATAATTACACATCAGTCATGGTCAGCTCACCACCTTCTCCAGTTTAGAGTCAGAACTAATTTTGAGCCCACTGGATTGGAAAACTGTTTCACTGGTGAACTAATGGAGATGAAATCCAGTCACATCTATCCAAGGTTTCTTCCAGAAAGGAACAGCCAGAGAGCCAGGTGAATAAAGTCAATGTCATGTCAAAAAGGAAGACATTTTACAGGACAGTCTTGATCTCTGTTGAAGACATCCATCATAGTTTTCCAGAGGTCAGATAACTTTACGATTATTGGCTGATGACCTGTCAGTAGGAATCAATTAACTTTACCCTCTCCTATCATGAAGAAACAAGGGAGCACACCAATGAAATGACAGGAAAAAGGTTAATCCAATGCACCATTTGGAGAAAAATGCTCTGTCACTGAACTGTGGAGGTCACTGCTGAAAAAATATATGACTTGACACAGAGGACTAGACACTGTATGACTACTTTTATTTCATATTTATGTCCCTGGGCTTTTAGGCCCTGTAGTCAGGTCCTGTTGTGCTAAGCACTGAACAAACACAGAGGAAAACACAGTCCTGGCTCTAGAGAACTAATCTGCAGTTATAATTACACTAGCTACAGTAAAAATGAGTCATATTATAAAATGGCCAGTAACTGTATAGGAATAGGAGCAAACAAAAAAAATACACACGTTTTTGTTTAGTTCTCCGTTACAGGGTTTTACACCTTATGCTGAAGCATCTAGCGCTGGCCACCATTAGATATTGGACTAAATGGACTAGTGATCTCATCCAGTGTGGTAATCGCGGCACTTCCTGTTTCTATTTATTTAATATTCAGCAGACTCTGGTACTTTTTTGCTGGAACAGCTACTTAATCTTCAGTTTTACATCAGCACCACCAAAATTACATTGCTTGCAATATTTCTCACACACACACACACACACACACACACACACACACACACACACAAAAGACAGTTAAACACTTACTATCCGGTAAGGATGGTGTAAAAAGGAGTCTGGGCAGCCAGCTAAAGCCATTTGTTCTTCCAATTTTTCTTCAAATTACATCTACTGCTTCACAGCACCTGCAGAGAACAAACAAACAGTCAGAAACCACACTGAAGGCCTGACAACTTATTATTGAAAAAACCTGTTTGAGATGGATGGAGCAGAGAAGAGTAATAAGAAGTGGCAAGTACATGCACCAACTTGGAGGAGCAAGTCTGCAGGTCAGGATTCTGAGGTAGTATTTTATAGCCTGGGAGAACAAGTCTACTTTTTCATTCAATACCAGATTAGACAGTCCCGATAAGAGAGCCAACTATTGTCAAGTTGAATCACTCCCAATCTACTTGCATGCCTCCGGTTTAAGTAGTGTATGGAGGAACTCTCCTCACTTTGGAGGTAGATTCCTCATATACCTCAGATTTTACCTCATAAGCTTCCTATGAATTCCAGAAATAAATCAGAGCAAGATCCTTCTAAGACTAGATGGATCATCATAAATAAAGCCTTGTCCGTGCTTTCTTGAAAAAAAAGTTACCAGTGTTAAATCAACATTTACCAAACAGTGGTCTCTGACAGGCTAGAAAACAAATCAGTGACTTCAAGTAGGGCAGTTTAACTGCTGACAGAGTGCTAGCTAATGGTGGCAACTGTACCCTACTCAGAATTTTGACTAGATGTTAACCATTGGTAAGAAGTTAGCAAAACCTAGTCTCCCACTCCCCGCAAATTATAGGATTCAAAAATTTACTCCTGATGGAAAGTATCAAAGCAGTTACAGCCATCTATATTTCCCCAGCTTGCACGATCCTGAAGCTGTGAAGTCGAATAAAGCGTACTTCTCCTCCCATAAGAATTCTATCAGTCTCCCTTTATTGCACAGTCTATGAATTAGAGTCTATATTTACATTTAGACTATAACTTTTAGCAAGACTAAACACCTACAAACTATTCCACACATTTAAAATTGGGGGCGGTATAAAACTCGAATTTAAAGTGTTCTAATTTTCCTTGAGAACGCCCATTTGAGTGCAAGCATTATATCTTTAATTATATAAATTTTTACATCTTAGCTCATAAATTACACACAGTTTATTCCACATGACCCCCTTCTTCATTCAGAGTACGGTGTGGATGCATGAGTAGAGCACAATTAGGTTTGCATGGGCAACTATAAGACTGGTATTTCTCAACTTAAGCACTAACTGTCACCTAAATAGTGTTTTAATGCAGTGGTTCTCACTCAGGGGTATGTGTACCCCTGGGGGTATGCTGAGGTCTTCCCAGGGTACATCAACTCATCTAGATATTTGCCTAGTTTTACAACAGGCAACATAAAAAGCACTAGCGAAGTCAGTACAAACTAAAATTTCATACAGACAATGACTTGTTTATACTGCTCCACATATTATACACTGAAATGTAAGTTCAATATTTATATTCCAAATGATTTATTTTATAACTATATGGTAAAATTAGAAAGTAAGCAATTTTTGAGTAATAGTGTGCTGTGACACTTGTATTTTTTATGTATGATTGTGTAAGCAAGTAGTTTTTAAGTGAGGTGAAACTTGGGGGTACATAAGACAAATCAGACTCCTCAAAGGGGTACAGTAGTCTGGAAAGGTTGAGAGCCACTGTTTTAATGCAGTTCAAAACAGTTGATTTTTTCCCCCCTGTAGCTCTCTATCTGCATGTTCAGAGGGCAGATTTTCCTCTTCTGTCATTATTTCATTGATAGAGAACTTAAGGCCAGCGGCGGCTTCAGGCACCAGCGCTCCAAGCGCATGCCTGGGGCGGCAAGCCGCAGGGGGCGCCCTGCCGGTCCCTGCGAGGGTGGCAGTCAGGCTGCCTTCGGCGGCATGCCTGCGGGAGGTCCGCCGGTCCCGTGGATTCGGCAGCAATTCGGTGGCAGGTACACCGAAGCTGCGGGACCAGGGACCTCCCACAGGCATGCCGCCGAAGGCAGCCTGCCTGTCGTGCTTGGGGCGGCAAAATACATAGAGCCGCCCCTGCTTAAGGCAAATAGAGCCACCTAGTCAGAGAAGAAGTTTGACAGGGGAGAATAAACAGACCAATTCAATGTGAAGAAAACAGTTGCCAGAACCTCCATGCATTACCACGAGTAACCTGCTTGTCTTGCCATTTCCCTTGGACACTTCTGGTTTCCTGCTTCCATGTCCCACAGAATACCCTGCATGTGTCTGAGACCATTCCTTTCCAATTGGATGCAGTCCAGGGGAAAGAGACTTCGGAAAACATGAAGCCAATAAACACTATCCCCCTGAAGAGCTTCTACCCTGTTCATTTTTATAGCAGCTTCAACTTCCTCTTTACAGAAGTGGCTGGTGGCCGAGTATTTTCAATGAGGGACATTTGTAATAGACTTCCAACCCCATCTCAAAAGAACACAAGTTCACAGACCTCCAATTCATTCCGTTTGGGGGGGACAGAGACCATTTTCTGTTCTAGGTTTGGCCCTGATCCGAGAATGGGGTTCTGAGCACGACTAATACAAATAATCACAGCCCACCCCTCCAGAAAAAGCAAGTTGGGATGATGCCTTTTTGGTGTGGGAGAAATTCTGGATATGAGCCAGTAGGTAAATAAATAGATTGCTCAGTCTCTAGGTACTTACACAATTGCAAGACAGTTCGCCTTTGCCTATAATATCACACACACACACACACCCACACACACCCCCACACACACACACTTTTAGTCCCCTACCCTGCCCAACCAAGTACAGCTTTTCAGAGTGATTCATGTTCCTGAACCTGCATGTTCCCAGTGAACTTTTGACCCTCCACTGTACAATGTAAATAGTTAATACATTACTAACCCTTAAGTTAAGAGACACCTAAGCCTGTGTTTGCAGTTCTGCCCCAGTAAAACCATGTTATTTTATGATAGTTGTAGAAAGAGCTTTGATAAATCAGGATTATTGTTGTGGCAGGCAGAGTCAAGGGAGAACCCTTGTTGTGTCTTCTTGTCCGAGACAGTACTGCTTTATTCCTTTTAAAAACTCCAAACCATGCCAGTTTAGAGCGCTGTCCTCACCCACAGTACACTTCCCAAATCTCATTCCCCACTGGTGTAGATGGGCATGGCAGCGGGTATAGTTTTTAATCAGAGTCATCAAGACCTCAGAGCAGGAGTGGACATGGTGGTTAGTGGGGTGGCAGTTTCTACACTAGCACTTTCCACTTTTGTCACCATATAGGGTTGCCAATCCTCCAGGATTGTCCTGGAGTCTCCAGGAATTAAAGATTATATAGTGATGAAGACTCCAGGAATACTTCCAACCTAGTCAATGGAGCTGCACTCCAACTGCACTCCAAAAGATAATTTATTAGGGGACGGGGGAGGGGAAGGAAGAGGGAGAACCACACGGGAGGGAGGAAGAGAGGGAAACAGACTAGAGTAAAAACACTCCCTAAGGTGTTTAACTTTCACCCTGATCTGAGTGGAGTTGGGGTGAGTGTCAGGCTGCAAATATGCATGTCCCATAGCACAAGGCAAAACTATTAACTGGCTTTTTCCTTGTAAGTTATCAACAGCGGAATAGCTAAATGACTTCTTGAAGAACTACTGTGACTCCTGAAGATTAAGTTATAGGAATTTGTGTGTTTTAGAAATCAACCTGAATGCAAACTGTGCATCATTTTACAGTGTGAAGTCTTCAAACTAGGAATGCTAGATTTTTATTTCAATAAATAAAAGAGACACACGTAAATTGTATTACAATATGATAATGTGCTAAACTGCACGGAAACTACTTCGCACACAGACTTTGAACGCCATGTCCACCATAGCAAGAAATAGGATTATCGGCTCATTCAGAGAGCTTTGAAAAGCTAAGTTGTGTCTGAACAGATAGGCCATAACAAAAAGAATCTAACAACCAGGATGCTGCCAAAATAGAGTGCTCTCTAACAAACGTGCTGCTTCTGTGTAATAGGAGATATTCCATCGCATGGGCACTGTAACAGGGTCAGCACCCACCTCTCACGAGCGCTCCTTCTGGTTGAGTGTGTCTGTGTTCTTTCAGAAAGTAGTCCCGGCCCTGGTATGGGACTGTATCTTCCTACAGCCCTGCCAGGCTCAGTCCCTACTCAGTCCCGGCAGCCAGCCAGGAGCTCCCTCAATGCTCCCCTGGTCCCTGCCAGCAGATTGTCTTCTCAGCCCTAGCAGCCAGCCAGGAGTCTCTCGCTCCCCGGTCCCTGCCAGCAGACTGTCTTTGGTCTAGCTGCTCTTCCAGCCAGGCATGCAGTCCTTTCTTCTCCAGCTCCAAGCAGCAACTAACTGCTGCTCTCTTCTGCAGCTCCTTCTATATGGCCCTCCTGGAACCCTGATTGGCCACTCCAGCAGCCCCTCTGATTGGTTGCTTCCTCATAACCACTCTAGGCCACGTGGAGGAGCTCTCCACTGCTCCTTTCCTTGAATAAGTGTGGCAGTACCCTGAGGTCTCCAGCAGGGGACCTTTGGGCCTAGTCCACCCCATCACAGGCACCATCTAGAAAGGTGTCACTCACACTTTCTGCAAGGTAGGCTTGCTTTAGAGTGACAGCAAAAGGTTTTTTTAAAAGTTAATTTATGGGTTTCAAAGGTACTTCAGTTATACAAAACAATGGATCCTAACTACTTTACTTCTAGGAAAGGAATGGCATTTCTAATAAAGCCTTTGAAATAACCTTAACAGCTCCTTAAGCAAATTGTTTGAGAGAGAGATTTCCTTATCCACAGTGAGCTTTGGCATCAGAAAACCAACAGCTACCTAAAATAAACACTACTGTTAATAAAAGTATTGGATTTGTACAGTATTACTTTGAGTTACATGGCATGCTGCTAGTTTATCTGTAAAAGATTAAAATGTAATACTTAAACCTTGCATTACTCATACTGGAAAAGACCATTTTAAGCATCTAACAAGGCTCTCTTTATTAGAATATGGCATGATGCCCTTTTAGTACAGCTGCTAGGACACCCATATAGAATGTATCTTTAAACATGCAAACAATAGGCATGGCCAAGACCAACTAACATCCACTTGTCAAAAGTTTACATTCAGTTCTCACCA